TTACATTTTGGGCCACTTTTTGGGTTATCTCAGTTGTCTTCAGTGAGAACTCCAAAGCTCTCTATTGGAGCTGGTCCCTGCTAGGTTCTATTGAATGAATGAGACCAAGACTCCGGTGACTCACTGTTACATCTGTTCTCCTGACCTGGACCTGGTTTTTCATGTAGCACTGTCTTGACCTTGGCTTGCCCGGCATTCCCTGCTTTCTGACTGTTTGTCTGGCGTCTGAATCACAGCTTCATGCTGATCATTCCCCTGCCCTTATTTGCAGACTGCCTGGCCTTCCTGGTTTCACCTTAGAGCCTCATTTCCCTGATTCATTGCAGTTTTTAGATGGTCTCACTATGCCAGGAAAAAAGGTGCCTTCTTGTTTTCTGACCCTTCCCAGAGCTCTGTCTTCAGGTACTAGCCTTTTCTCAGACATATTCATTATACACGATGAAACTTATAGGGCATGGAGTTGCACATTAACTCCAGGTACAATATATTTGCAGACTTACAGTGTATCTGTAATAGATATCTGTGCTGTCTATGAAAGCAGTTTAAGAATTAATCATTTTCTTTTTTACTACCTCACTTTGGTTTCAACTGTGGTGTGGTTCTTCATTTTCCTGCGTATTTTGCCTTGAGATTTGTATTTTTATTTATTGTAATAAAGAGAAATAATAATAATCATGATGATAAGACAGGACCAAAGAAAAGTGCCAACTGAGGAGAGAAGAACTGAGGGAAATGAGATCAGCAAACAAAGTTTACTTTAGCAACATTACTAAAAAAGGGACAGTGCCCCAAACAACATGGTAATCACAATGACTGTTTTGAAACTTCATGTCAAATTATTTTATGGTGTCTATCAACCACTAATTCTATTTGGAAGACTTAAATAAAGGTATACCCATTAAACATTTAGCAGAGGGAGCTTACCTTTGTGAATGTACAAAATACTCTACTTCCAGGTCCATAAAAGAGTGAAGCTTCAGAAACAATTTTTGGTATTCTTTTTTACTATTTAGAGCTCAATATGGGAAATAATTTGGAGATTCCTTTCATTTTCTGTACAGCAATGACATTCTGCAAATGCACATTAAGAACAACAATGAAAATTTTGCACTTTTTCTCAGCAAAAATCATATTAGGAGGCCTAAAGCATGAGCTATGTAGTTGCCACATGCTACATCTTTGTTTTTATGCAATGTAATCTCAAGCTTTCCATCAATTCAGAACAATTAGTTCTTTTTTCTATGAAGAAGGGAAGAATAATATATTTTGAGTCATTAAAGACTAATCAATTTTCAAAAGCTTTGCCTTCCAAGCATTTTCTGGAAAATAAGTGATGTCTAATGATAAGTCATAAGTCTAAGGAGATGATTTTGTGAATTGGAATTAAATGTGTGTTACTAATTGATGTACCAATAAAAGCAATTTTTTGAACTTCAGAAAATTTGGCAATCTATTGGTTTGAGTTTCAATGGATTATTCATTTTCTATTTTATATTTCCATTAGCTTCTCTACATTACAACTCCATAAGGCATTTGAAAGAGGATGTAGATGAAATATGACACTGACCTTTGAATCTTTTTAAGGGGGAATGGGCTAATGTGATGTTGAAAAAGGTATATGTGTATAATACAGGTATTATATACATGCATATCTTATATCACCTTTTCTCTCTAATTTCTTTTTAATTTTTCTCTATAATCTTCTCAATAATTTACAATGTTAACTTTATAATTTTTGAGTTATATTTTAAAACTCAAAGACAAGGTCATTTGAAAGTGTTATAGCATTAATAGGGACTTTTGTCGTTACATATTTCCTCATCTGTATGTTTTGGAAACAATTACATCAAGTGGACACTCTTAGACTTGAACAGTTTGAGCTTCTTGGCTATGAAGGACCTAAGGTAGATTCAAGATTCTGATTTTTAAAAATCACCCTTGTAGATTAAATGGTGGTCAAGACTAGTTCTTGGCTTAACTATGAGTACTGGTAGATTTTACTATAAAGTATTGGGGACAGAGTTCTTAAATACAGAGGAAATAAAAGAGATCTTAGGCCACCCATCTTTGCCATGAGTCTGGGACCTGGATAAGATTCTCAACTCTGAATCTTGCCTTATCGGGATACTTGAGTGGTTTCACTGAAAAACTAGAAAGATAAGACGGATTTCTTTTTGTTCAAGCCTTCTTGTGTACCTCTAAAGTATGTCTTTTGGGGACCAGCTGGGATTATTGAGCATAGTAAGTATAACTCTTTCTCAAAGAGATGAAAGCTGACTACAGAGGTTGCTTTTTACAGCCTTTGCAGGTCTTGAAGGTGGGAATCCATTTTCTGGGTGTGCTTTGTGGCACCATATTCAGCTCAGAAACTTGCAGATGGGGTTGCAAGTGCAAGATCCTGGGTCAGAGATGTATCCAATTACTGTTCTCTATGAAGGGGGCACAGATCAATTCCTTTGCTGAGAGGTAAAAATTGCTTTTGGCCTTGTGACTTTGTCTTTTTAAAGGTTAAAAATCATAGATTCGTGTCATATACAAAAGACAAGATTTCTGCACTTTTCAAGATCAGTTGTACTTAAAATATCTGAGGTAGAAAAAATATTATGACATAAAAATACTCAAAGCAATAAGAGTCTACTAAAGCCATAACAAGCTCATTCCAGATTTTAACAACCTTACTTTACCTTAATTTATTAGAATTCTCTCCTGTTGTAGATCATTTCTTGTTCTTTTGTCCTAAGGGAGATGAATAAAAATTGGGCACCATTCTCCATGTGATATTTTATTATAATCCTTGAGGCATTTGTTAGTTTCCTATTCAAGTTTCCATTTTTAGAAATATATAAGCACGTTTTTGCCTTCTTACTAGTCCTGTTTCCTCCTTACCAGGTCTTCTGTGAAGCTTTGCTGGTGATCATGGTGACCTTCTGAAGATCCTGTGCTTAAAAGTTATTAGACAAAATTGCCATCCTTATTTAGACAATTTTTACTTTCAATACCAAGTCTTTTTCCTGAAATTAAAAAAAATGGTCTGTGTCTGCATCTACATCTAAATCTATCAAACTGCTTTTTGACCACATGGATGACTCACAGTCAGCTAAACCTTGAGATGTCCACAAGGAAACTCATATTCTCCAGAATCTGTTCCTCACCCAGTGAATCATCCCACCATCTACCCAGGCACCTACACCAGAAATATGAGGGAGAATTGCTTGAACCCGGGAGGCGGAGGTGTCTGTGAACCAAGATTGAGCCACTGCACTCCACCCTGGGCAACAGAGGGAGGCTCTCTCAAAAAACTAATAGTAAATAAAGACTCCTGTTTTTGTGATATTGGAGACACCACAGACTTAATCAGAGGGCCAGCAGGCAGCCAGTTGCAGTGTTTGTTTGATCTTGAGGCTATCACCTTATCCACAGCCAGTTTCCCTAAGCCCTTAGATAAAATCCACAGCATAGCATAGCATAGGCAGCAGTGCTTTGTTTTTGTCTTTTAAGCCTTCTTTAACAGGGGTGTACAGAAGGCATAGGAAGAAGCCTCACACCAACCCCTGGCTTGACATAGTTTGTCATCAGCCTGGATCCAGTTTATCATCTACCTTGGAGCATTTTTAGTCTCAGTTACCCTCTCAGGAGCGAATCTTTTTTTTTTTTTTCCTTCCACCTTCCTTTTTATCCCTCCTTCCTTTCTCTCTCTCCCTCCTTCCATCCATTCCTTCCTTTCTTCCTCCCTTCCTTGAAAATAAGTTGAAAGTATTGTGTTATTTCACTCCCTAAATACTCTGCATGTATATCCTAAGAATAAGGACATTCTCCTACATAATTACAACACCATTATCATAACTAAGAAAGTTTATAATGATACAATTATATGACTTAACTTTCTCCAATTGTCCCTCCAAAAATATCCTTTGTGGAATTTTTAGAATTTCTAGTAAAGGATCACATATTTTATTTCAATTTCAGGTCTCTTAAGTCTTCTTTAAACTGGTATAACTTCCATGGTTTAACTTTATTTTTATTAAAAAACTTTTTTTTTTTTTGTCTCTCATGATCTTGACATTTTTTAAGTATCCAAGGTTAGGTTTCTGAAAGAATGACTGATGACCTCTATGTTTCTTAATTTTCATTTCCTGAATGATTAGATTCATGTTACACATTTGACAAGAACACTCTGTATTCTTGGTGATGTTGTGTCCTTCTCATTATTATATCAGGAGGCACATAGTGTTAATTTTTCTTCTTAACAGTGATGCTAAGTTTACTTGTTTGAGGTAGTGTTCACCAGATTTATTTACTACAAAGATACCTTTTACAAGGAATCTTTGGGTGTGGCGCTTTGAGATTGTATGACTATCCTGTTTAAGTTAAATTGCTTTTCACCTAATAGTATTAGCATGTTTAATGACCCATGCTTGTAAACATAATTATTTTGGCAGTCAGAAAATATATATTATATAATTTTATTATTTATTTTATATATTTTAGCTGGCATTCTATAGAGAAGTCTCATCTCCTCATACCCCACACCTTTTTGGGAGGATTTTGAAATATCATTATGTACTCATAGATTCTTTTTTCACAGGATCATTTTGACCAGAAATAAAGTAGTTCTATTTTGAACATTTTTTTACAGTGTTTAGTATATATTTCTCATGTATGTTTATTATATGACATTTCTTATCATGTCTTTTTGAAATAACATATTTTCATAAATCACATACTATAGGCTTTCCTTAAAACACTTTTCCCAGTTTTGATATGTTGTAGTTGGGTTAAAGTCTGTCTCTTCATTTACTATGGCAAATAACTATGGTGTTGACTTATTTGATTTATGTTCCTTTGGTGAATTAAAAATGAAGTCAAGTCTGTTATTGTAATTAAAAATTCATGGGATTAAGTTCCCAGTGATAAGGTATCATATGCAGAAATAAGCCTCTCTCTTCTTCTCCCTGACAGCAGTGCACATGCAGTTAATGCTTTCTTTGTCTTATTTTTAGGATCGACGATTCAATGATGAAATTGACAAACTAACTGGATACAAGACAAAATCATTATTGTGCATGCCCATCCGAAGCAGCGATGGTGAGATTATTGGTGTGGCCCAAGCGATTAATAAGATTCCTGAGGGTGCTCCATTTACCGAAGATGATGAAAAAGTAAGATTTTATGCCTTTTGTGACTTGCACTTTCCTTTTTAGTCATTGATTGCTCTTCTCCTTTAAAAGCGAGGAATTATGTGAATAGCTGGTAGATTAGCCCATTCATGGATCAAAGAGCTTTTTCTTATGGTATACAAAATGAAATGGGAGTTTTTCGATATTTCATAGAATGTGGTATAATCGAAAATAATTGCTTCATCTTTTTTGTAGCTTGCTTTTCATTATAAGCCTCGGTAGTATTGTTGTTATTCCCTGGTCTTTATCTTCCTTATAAGTAAGATTTTTAATTGAGGATCACAACACCACCACACATGGCCTAAGGGAAGATAGAAAATATAGGAAGATTGCTGTGTTTCAGAAATTCAGCACTTTCTCCTGTATTTTTATAACTACAACGAAGAATTGTATTCTCAGTTCTTATATAAAAATCTCAATAAAAATAAATGTTATTTGTTATTCCAAATTGCTAATAAAAAGAACATTACTTTTGTCCCTGAAGAGTAATTGACCTTAGTGGAAGTAATGTACTTTTCACTCTGAAATTTTAAGTTCTTTCGCTAGTAGTTTATTTACCAGCTTATATTAAAAGAGAGAGTCCTCAACTGAAGTCCTGGCTTTGAAGCTCCTACCTTTATATTAAATAAAATTGGGTTGAATATTTATAAAATTTGTGCTAAAAGCAAATCTCAAATTAGTTTGTTTAAGTTTGATAACTCTTATATTCCTATTTAATTAAAAAACACTTTATAATTTAACTTTCGGGATGTGGGTTTGTTGTTTGCCAATGCTAATTACAAATGCATTAAATTAATGCAAATGTTCTGGCACAGAAGGTCAACATGAAATATGATTGTAAGGAAATAAGTAGGTTTTTAAGTGAGGGGAGTTCTTGATTGAGGTCATTTTTATAGAGGAATTGAGATGCCCCAAATCTTCATAAAGGTTTATAAATTCACGGAGCATGATAAGATCTCAAAAGATTTCTTATAATGCAGTAAACTGCCGTGGGGTACGATGCACTTGTGTTGGGATCGTAGAGGGAACAAAGATAAATCCCAATCATGTTATGTCATCCAGGAGCTACAAGAGGCAGGAGGCAAGAATTATCAGCCAGATGTTTTCAGACAGGCTGGGAGCACATAGGAAAGAGGTTTGTTCTCACTTGGATCTGAAGAGGCTTCTTGGAAGAGGCGATACTTAATCTGTCCTCTGAAGTGAAAATAGGCCTTCATCAGGCAGAATTGGATGAGAAGGAGAGGACGTTTAGAAGTGAATATAAATGTAGGCCATCTCATTCACAATACAGATATTTCCATGGAATGTACAGATAAAACAGAAATTTCATGTTGTGCATTTTGTATCGTAGATGGCAGAGTCCTGAGATGATGTGCCTCTTATACAGATTTAGATAGAAGGATTTGGATTTTGTGTATTTCCGAACATAACCACTACATACCCTTGCCATCCCCTGGACAGTTTAGTTTATACACAGATGGTAGTCCTGTCTTTGCTCTACTGCCTTCATTTAAAAGGAACTCATTATATATTTAGTTCTTATCTTTGGTTCCATTTATGTTAGATTTGTTTTCTGAATTTTTCTCAGTGGACTTATACCTGTGAGATAGAGCTTCATGAGCTGTGAATAATTTAAAGGGAAAATTTGCACAAAACTTTGTAGCTATCTTGAACAGCATCTTCCAAATAAGGGAAGACACCAAGGCATAATGGCTGCACTGGCCATGTGGTGAGTCTATCTGGGTTGAAATTACATCTCTGCCATGGCCTGAGTAACTTTGGGCAAGTTACCTAACTTCTCTGGGCCACAATATTCTCCTCTTAGAAGAAGGGTGATAATAACACTTATCTCACAGGCTGTAGGGAGATTAAATGATAGACTCCGGGGAAAGAACTTGGAAAAGAACCAGCACTTACTAAGTTCTCGTGAGTGATTAGCTTTTCCTGACAGCACGTGAATACATGTGAAGCATCATATGTATCTCAGTCAAGTCTCAGTTTAAAAATTACTCTTGTCTAATTTAAGTCTATACATTCTTATTAAGTGGACCTCCCAGGTTGCTGAATGGTGGTGCTGAAAGTGTGGCTCACCCAGAGAAGGATCAGAAGCTCTGCACCCCCTCCCGTATAGCTTGCCCTGAGTATCTCTTCCATATGGCTGTTTCTGAGTTACAACCTTTTATAATACACTAGTATTCTATATGAGAGATTGGATATACAAATGGACAATGACCAGTCCATGCAATGATAGACCCACATTCTGTTCAGCAGGCAGTTTAGAAGGCTAAATCGAGTCTCTGCAGCAATCAGTCCAGCATAGCCAGGATTTGGTCAGTGACTACCACCTTTCCTATTTTTTTTTTGCTCCTGTCATGCCCTCCACCCCTGCAAACTTTCAGCTCACAGCCACTGAGAGACAAGCCAAATATATTCCTTGAACTCATTACCAAAATGCTGTGTTTCTAGTTACCCTGCCTTCAGCTTCTCCATGCCAACAGCCTCCAATCAGAACATACCTAAACTCTTCTCTTTTTTTCACCATAAAAGTTGTGCACTGCCCTTCGAGTCTTCCAAATGCGAGTTATGGTCTAGGATGACTTCCTTATTATAGCACAATCTGAATAAATAGCCTCTGTTGGTCCTCATTTAAAGACAGATTTTTATTAAAAGCAATCTACATGCCAGTTGCTCCTCCTGTGTTGGGGTTTCTCCAATTAAAAGGGGGATATATTTCTTTATAAGTTCATAAATCTCTTGCCTTATTATTAATGCACATACTCTTTTACTTGGTTTTACAAGGTTATCCTTATATGTACCAGTTTGCATTCTACTTTTTAACCCAGTTATTTCTTACATATGCATCCACATATGAATATATTCTACATTTGTCATCTTGGGAGATCGTGAAATTTTCTTTTCTTTTTGTATCGAGCCTAGTTTTTTAGTCACTGTCCTATTACTGAGAATTTGGATTTTTCCCCGTTTTTCACTAATACAAATAGCCCCTGAACGAACATCTTGAAGAAATTACCTTTTTCTTTTGTGTTATTTCCTTGAGGGTATATTCCAAAGACTGAAATTATGAGTCAAAGGGCGAGAAAAGTTTTATAGCTCTCATTCCATGTTATAGATAGCCTTTGGAAATATTGGACCCATTTACAATGGGAGCAGTATGCTTATAACTAATTTCTCAGAGCTGTGCCAACTTCGTTCAATTCACATTTTAAAACTCAAATTAGTTTTCCTTGTTCAGCCAAGCAGCCTTCAGAAAACCTTCTCCCACGTTCAACAGCATAAACTGTAGCAACCAAAGTAATTTCAGCATTGCTCACAAGTAAGAAACCAAGGAAGCAAAAAGGAAGCCATGTCGTGACAGGCTCGAGTCAGAAAGTCTCCAAGGCAGGTTCAAGTCTTGGCTCTGCTGCTTATTAATTGACTGACCTTCAGCAAGTGACTGCACCTCTCTAAGCCTCAGAACCTCCATCCCAGGGTTGTTGTGTGAAGTAAAATAGATAATAGATGTAAAGTGCTTAGGGTAGCACTTATTATCAATAAATGAGCCTCATGAAAGTTCACCATATATTTCAAATCCAGACGAAAGTAATTTGAACCCTGTTCATAATTTTACTTTATACACATAACTGCCATGTCATCATTCACATGGGTAGTGGTAAATTTGTTGCACATTAGCATAATATGATTTGTATGTCCTGATATCTTAAAATGTCAGCGTCTAGAGACTATAAGTTATGTTCTGTATAATTTTAAAACATTTTGTAATATGGAACTCAGTAAATCATTTGAGATAAATTAAAAATTAAATTTGGTATACTAATTTCTGGGCTATTTATGTACCTAACATAGTTGTGCATAGACCATATTATGTTTCTTGAAAATTTTATACCTATAATTCAGCGGCTGTGCTATATCATGTAATATATATATTCTGTAATAGAAGAGACTGGAAAGATCACCAAGTCTATTACCTGCCACCTTTTCCCTCATCCAGTGCAGGAAACTTTACCTGACAGATAGTCATCCAGCCTCTGCCTAAAAAAGCTTCCCTTTTAATGACTTTAAAATCCTCATGCACTTCAAAGTTCTTGGATAATCAGCAATAATTTTATCAGCAGTGGTGAGCATTTCTATGAAATATAGTCTACTACATGCACATATTAATAATTTAAGTTCCATACTGACAAATTACTAGTTTGGTAATTCACACTGGAAGTACACACAAAGGCTGACCATGCAGGAAAGATGATTGGAATTTTCTGGTTTACTTCATGGGTTTCAAACAAATGTTCGTATTTTTCAGCAATATATATAAGCTAGCTGATTTAGGTGGTATGACTAGATTCTTTGCATTCAATTAAGTCATTACTTTATTATCTCTGGGTGAGTGAAGAAAGGTATTATTTTGAAGAATAAAATAATGATACCTCGATAGGAGCAAATATTTGTGATATATTAAGATGCATGGGCACGCCAGCATGAACCTGGGAAATGAAAATGAGCAAGGGCTCTTATCTGTCCTCCCAGATTCCTATACCTCTGCCTTAAAAGTGTCATTTCATATTGCAGTGTTCCATAAAGTATGATATGTTTATTACAGGTCCTTTGCAACAACCAACATATTAGCAGTTGTGGCTTGACATTCTTCTTTGGCTAACCTCTGTAGGTTTCTTTAGCACTGGTCATCTCTCTTCAGCTCATGATTTAGAGTGTTTGGTTACCCTGCTGCTCTCCTTTATGCCGACATGTTCCGCCACCCCATAGAGCTGGGGTGCAGCCAACTTGAGCTTGGTTGCTGAGGGACTGGCTATGTTCCAGGAGCTTGTTACTGATGATGCTGCCCTGCCAACTGGTGTTGAGGACGGTGCATGAATGATGCTAATGAGTCTGTAGAAGCTGGAGTTTTGTTATCAGCAACAGTCCTGAGACTCACAGTCAGATAATAGGAAGAATTTTATAAGCTCCTG